CTGTCGACTACTGCGGATTTCACGCTAGTACGGTCGATTACTGCAGATAAACGACTGCGGACTGAGTACTATGATGATCTCGGGGAAGCTCTCAGGCAATGATCAGGTTGAAGAGGCCAGCCAGCGCCATCTTGGTACTTAGAAGTCACAGGCGCACGAGACGTGGAGGGCGTACCATGTGTGATCGGCTGAGAATGAGTGCCTGTAGAAATTAGCCATCGGCACGAGCGTGGATTGCATGAATGAGTAACTACCACAGCCGAAGTTTGTGAACGAGTGAGAATGAATGACTAAGTAACTCGGCATCGGCGCATGAGAATGTGCGTGGAATGGGTGAGAACGAATGATTAAGTAGGAAGTAGTCATAGGCGCACGAGCGTGGAGGGCGCAACCTGTCAATGACGAGTGAAATTGAATGACATCTACCACAGCCGCGGCTTTTGAATGAGTGAGAATGAATGATTAAGTAGTAATTAGTCATAGGCGCCCTGTTACTGAGAATGGCTAACTGCCACAGACTTGACACGTGTGACTAAATTGTGATTAGTCCCTAATAGTAAATTGTGATTAGTCCCTAATAGACGGGAGAGCGTTCCGCGTTAATGAGTGAGGGCGTATTTACGCAATCCTGTGTCGGTCTCGGCTGGATCTCGGGTAGATCTCGGAACCTCTGCGCGCGCAGCGGCAGCGCAGCGGAAGGAACACGCCTACGCAATCACAACCGTGTGAAAGAGAGTCAAAGAAGATGTCCTTTGTTTATGAGGGATCATGCGGGCTATGAAGGCATATGAGAAAATCTCGGGCAATCTCGGGCAACCTCGCCTAAAAAGACAGAAAGAAATCAACGCGCCCGCGTGCCGCAGCAGGAGAGGAGACTGGGCTTCTTGACTTGACCGGGAAGGTTCGAGCCTGAGAGAGTAGAGCCGCACCTACGGGCAACACGCCGCGGCGTTAGCGTCGCGACGACCGGCACACTCTCTCGTGTCCTCGGCGCTCGGACTGGAGCCGGGCAGCGATTGGCAAGCGAGCGGGCTGCGTCGCTCTCTCGCCGGAAAAGAGTGGGGGCCATCGGGCGGGTTCGCTCGGTATAAGGGTGGGGAACGAGCTGCAGCGGCCGCGTCTCGCGGCTCCTCGATGGCAGCAGCCTCACCTGCGAACGCGAGGTGGCAGGCATTGTGAGGCCGAGAGGGGCGTAGCAGAGTACGCTCGTGCGCCAAAGAGCGCATCGCATGGTGGGAGCGGAGAGGGAGCGGCGGGTTGCGTGAGCAGGAGGCGTCGCGCCGCTCGGGCGTGCAGCTCGCCGCGGCCATATGTGCGTCGATACGGCGGGGCCAGCGCGAGCGGAACGGGAAAGGCGAGGGTTGGACCTGTGGCGAAGTACACAGCCAAGCCAGCCGAACGCCCCGCCTCGATCAAAAAGAGCGTCTTCGGCACTACTCTCTCTCGAGGTTCTCGAGGTGGATATCCTTTGGCCGCGTTGGGTAGCGAGGATTGGTGTAACCCGAGCCACGGAGGCGTGTTTTCTGACGGCCGACCGTCAGTGCACGGAGTTGCCCCTTCTCCGACTGCCCCGGCTAGTTCCCGAGGTCGTCGGGTGTGACCCCTTCGTCCCCCGAGACCTAGCGCGGGTGGGTTGGAGGGGCCTCGGAAAGGCGCGCAAGCACGCCCTACGTCTTCCCCTCCTCCCCATCGGGCCGCATGAGCGGCCACGCCTCGCAGATTCGTTTCCGCGCCTGGGTCAGGCGCGCGGGGCATCCCCCGGGTCGCTCGACCAGCGATCCGAAGAGTGGCCGCTATGTGAAGGAAAGAGTGGGGCCCTCGACGCCTCAGTCCGGCCCTCCGAGGGGGGAAGGGAATTGCGGGGTCCCCTCGGGCGCCTCAGTTCGGCCCTCCCGAGGGGGGGAGGGGAGCAAGGGGGTGGGGGGATTGGGGTGGTGGGGAGGGGTCTCGGCGAGGTCTCGCGGATCTTATAAATCAGCCGAACGGTATTTGTATTCAGCGGGGCACGCGCGGAACGGAATACGTGCCGACTGTGTATAACACTCGTGTCCTGCTGTCAAAAGCTCAAGAGTCAAGACAGGGACGTAGAGCTCTACATGCAAGTACGTGTGTGTGTGTGTGTGTGTCCTCCTTGTCTGCTGTCTGCCTGACTCAGGCACTAATTCTGCCGATGCGTGATTGTGTGTGGGCTGCTCCGAGGGGGCCCTGTGCAATCCGACGGGTAGGGGGTCTGTGCCCGGGCGGTGTCCGGTGTGGAGTCCCCTTCTGATCCCGCCTGCGATGTTGGGTGTGAGGTCGTGGAAGCTGTGATCGCAAGGGGGGGAGCTGATCCCACTCGTAACCAACTCTCAGGGGCAGTAGGTGGGCGAGCTTCAGGCACGCTCATCTCGATCGTCAAGACGTCGCTACGCGCGGTCTTCCGCGGGGGGAGCTGCGTCGACGGGTGCGGGACCGCGGCGCAGCCAGTGCCGCGGCGAGGCCTCCGGCTGTTTGCGGCGGGCGGCTTGCTGCTCGCTGCATGGCGAAAAACTCGTCTCGCCACACGCCAAGGGCTTATGCTCTGGCGAGACGTGAGGCGCATGCGCCCAGGAGGGGAGGGGGCATGTGTAACGACGCTGCTAGAGATGCCTTTCGGGGCCCAGAGATAAAACTTCTGATGCCATGCGTGACCTAGTAGTGTCCCCAGCTATGGGCGTGTCCACGTTGGAGCCAGGTGTGGTGTGGGCGCGAGAATAGCTCCGCCGTTCATGGAGGCAACCGATGCGAGTCGACTGGTGTGTGTCGTCGTGGTTTCGTATCAAGAATACTCACTCACTCACTACATGCAAGTACTCCTCAATGTGTGTGTCTCGCGCCTTGCGGGGGGGGAGCGGAAAGGAGGAACCTCTTCCCAAGAGCACCACTCTTGGAGCGCCGCCACTACCACCCAGAGCGCTGCAAGCAGCGCCGGGCAATGACGGCTTACCGCCCACCCAGCCCCCCCTCGGCACACCCCGGCAGCCAATGTGTGACGGCTCGAACCCGCTAAGCCATCCCGCAAGCGGGATGGCCCGCCACTCGAACCCGCAAGCGGGTGTACGAACCGCGAGCGGCTCGCACTCGTGGCGCGCTCGGCGGCGGCGAGGGAGGCTGGTGCTCCGGGCTCGTCAGCGGTTCGCCGCCTGCCGGGCAGGGGGAAGGGAGGAGTGGGTCCCGTGTCGATGGGCCGCTCCCCAACCTCGGATCGTGTCAGCCGTGTGACAGTCGTGCGTATGTCAGCCGTGTGACAGAGGGATTCGCCCTCGGCCCCCCTCGGAGGGGCCGCCCTCGAGGGCCGCGTGCGCCGCTCGATTGGTGGCGCCGCTGCGTCCACCGGCCGAGGGGGGGGGGGGGGGGGGGCGAGGGATCGCCCTCGGCGAGGGATCCGCCCTCACACGGGATCGCCGTGTCCTTGTACTCACCGGTCGCCGGGTCATTGTACCGTATGTCAGCCGTGTGACGGAGGGATTCGCCCTCGGCCCTCGGAGGGACCGCCCTCGAGGGCCACGTTCGCCGCTCGACGGGTGGAGCCGCTGTGCCCACCGGCCGAGGGGAAAAGGGGGGGGGGGGCGAGGGGGGTGGACGGTCACCTGGATCGTTGAACTCGGAACGTTGGCTGGGGCCGCCGACGAGCGGCGCGGGGGGCGACGTCGGCTCCGCGACGCCGTCGGCCCGGGAGCAGCCGCGCGCGGGGATGACCTCGTCGTCGCCGACGAGGAGGCCGCGCAGCGCCTTCTGCACGAGGGAGAGCATTGACGTTGCCGGCATCGGTAGTCGTTCGGTTCGGCCTGGCTGCCCTGCGCGCCGGGGCGCCTGCAGCGTGCGTCGCTGGCGGGCCGGCGGGTAGCGCCGCCTCCGCTCGCTTGAGAACTGGTCGATTGGCGCCTGTCTGAGCAGGAGCCGACGCTAGTCGGGAGCTGTGTCAGGAGCCTCGTGGCGCTCGGAGGTCCCGCGCACAAAGCGGCGGGCAGCGGCGGGCGCGGCGCCGCGGGGGCGTAAGGGTTCCCGCCCGCTAGGCGCTGCCCTCTGCGCCGAGGCTCGACCCGCTTCTCCTCAGTTCACTAGCACAAACTGAAGTTTGTTTATCAAGAACAGACAACCCAAGGGAGGGATGGGAGGACGGCACGCCGCCACCACACAGGGATTTTAAGGAGAGGAGTGTGGTGGAGTGGTGCTAGCCGTCGCCCACCGATACCTGGATGTTCTCGCCTTTATGTCTCACACTCAGCAGGCGTGCGAACGGATTCTTCTCTGTTTAGGTTCTTGGTAGAACTTTTCTGATCGATCCCCTAGCCGACCTGGAGCCCGAACCCACGATAGCCCGGGGGAAGGCGGGACGAAAGGGCGATGCCGCAGCGGGGTCAAGCTGTTGCCGTCACAGCCCGAGCTTGCGCGAGCCCCGCTGCTGAGCCTGGTGGTGAGCCTTGTGCTAGTTTCGCCGATCACGGCTTTGGTAGTGTGGCCGCAGGCGCGCACGGGCCTCCTTCCGCGCGCCTGCGCCGCGCACCCGCGCTGTGCGGTCGCCGGAGCAGCAACTAGCCCTCTCCGATCCGGAGCAGCACGCAGCCTCAGGCCTCACACTCCATCACCTCCGACGGGACGCCTTCGGTGGCACGCTCGGCGGCGAGTTTGTTCGCAGCTCCACAGCGAGCGCGGCGTCGAGCCTACTCACTCATTGGTTCGGCGCACTCCCTGGGTGCCAGGGAGTGCGCCGAACGCGCGAGCGGTGCGTCCCAGCAGCCCGCGCTGGCTGCGAAGCTGTGCAACAAACTCGCGACACGCTTTTTGACTTGAATGCCGTGGCGCGTGGGCGTGGCGCGTGGGGTGCGAGGCGGCGAGGAGCCGAGCGGAGGAGCACTTGGCGCTAGGCCTGTCTACAGCTTGAGCCTTGACCTTGAGCTTGGAGCTGCAGGCTTGCGCTGCTTAGGTCTTTGTCGTTTGTGCCGAGGGTGTGCGTGTGGGACGTCCCACGAGGGGACTGGGAGGAGGAGAAGTTCCAGATTCATGCGAGGTCTCCCCCGCCTACTCACCCACCCTTGTGCCCCGGTTGCGTTGCGAGCAGCAGAACACGGCAACACGGTTGGACCACAACAAAATGTAAGAGCTAGGCGAGTCACAGCCTCGCGCTGAGATTCCCAGCGCAACCGCATTGAATGGGATATGCCTCCGACCGAGAACAGAGCACCACCTCAGTCCTTCTGGTGCTCCTTCCTTCGCGGCTCTGCTCGCTGCGGCTTCGGGGCGTTGTTCGCGCGCGCAAACAGGTTGTTGAGCGTCCATGACGTCGTCGCGCCCACAGGGCTTGACACCTGCGGCACGTGGCAAGGTGTTCATCTAGGTGCTCTCCCCCCCACACCCACACACGAGGTGGTGGGGCGAGGGCCAGGCTAGCCCCTCGCGACTCCACGTCTGGACGACAGGAGCCCCGCGGCATTCCAAGTGCAAGGCCCAGTGCGCGTGGGTGAGCGGTGTGTGGGAGAGAGAGGGAGAGGGGGGGGGAGGGAGGGAGGGAGGGAGGGAGGGAGGGAGGGAGGGAGGGAGGGAGGGAGAGAGAGAGAGAGAGAGAGAGAGAGAGAGAGAGAGAGAGAGAGGTGTTGCTCTGGCACAAAGTACGGGCCTTCAGATTGCAACAGGGCCAGTGCGCTGTGGCGAGTGTTAAGGGGCGGTAGGGGTGCCGGGTCGCCTCCCACATCTCGACCACATCTCGACCACATCTCGACCGCATCTCGACCACATCTCGACCGCATCTCGACCTCACATCTCGACCACATCTCGACCACATCTCGACCGCATCTCGACCGCATCTCGACCGCATCTCGACCGCATCTCGACACGCCTTCTCGGACGAGAACGCCAGCTGCGCGGCGCCTCGCGGGCTGCGGTCCATTTCGGGAGGGCGAGCGCGCCTATGTAAGGTGAGGCAAGGTACCTCTCCACACACACGCGAGGTGGTGGGGCAAGGGGGGCAACCCTCGCGTCTCCACGTCTAACGACAGGAGCCCCACGGCATTCAAAGTGCACTAAGGTATGAAACGCCGCTCATTCGCCGCTGCTTAGCCCCGCCAGCGAGCTAAGACCACGAGTCAGCCCACAACAAGCTAGTTAGGTGTGAGGTACCTATATCTCCCCTATATCTCCCCATAGTTAGGTGTGAGGTGTTAGGGTATTAGGCACACGTGTTGATGGCCATTATTAGGCTTATAGTTTGATAGTGGGGGGGGGAAAGTTGGCGAATAGAGACCACGCCTCACCTTTTCACAGTGCTTTTCGCTGCGCATGCTCTAGCCCCCGGCGAGAGGGCTTGTGCTGTGAATAGCAGGCGTGGTCTCTACTCGCCAGGGTGCTGTGAATAGCAGCTGTGAATAGCAGGCGTGGTCTCTACTCGCCAGATTGTGCTGTGAATAGCAGCTGTCAATAGCAGGCGTGGTCTCTACTCGCCGGGGGGGGGGGGGGGGTAGCGGAGCGCACGTCTTTGTCGTCACAACGCCGCTGTGAGACCCGCACGCGCCGCCGCAGCCGCCCGCCGTCGTTTTCTTTTCCGTGGGCCCTTCGCCCCTTCCACCGCCGCCGCCGGCGGCGGTGGCGGAGGCCGCTTTGGAGGAGGAGGCGGAGGCGGCACCGGCGGTGAGGGAGCGCTGGGAGGGTCGGCTCGGCTCCTGCGGTGTGAAGAGACGCCGGTGTGAAGAGACGCCGGTGTGAAGAGACGCCGGTGTGAAGAGACGCCGGTGTGAAGAGACGCCGGTGTGAAGAGACGCCGGTGTGAAGAGACGCCGGTGTGAAGAGACGCCGGTGTGAAGAGACGCCGGTGTGAAGAGACGCCGGTGTGAAGAGACGCCGGTGTGAAGAGACGCCGGTG